ACCCAGTATTTTGCGGACAGGCCCCAGAAGAGGGGCAGGTGGAAGTGTTTGGCCAGAGGGGCCCTTCAAGGCCTCTCCCGGCACCCAGCCCACCCGCAGGGCCTGGCCCTGCCTCCTCCCTGATGCCTTGGACCTGGGAAAACAGTGCCCAAGTAGAAAAACGGCTCCACATTCCCGGGGAGAAAGGGGGAGTCTGTCCCAAAGTGGGTGTGTGTTGGTCCCTACCTTTTCCATGAAACGAGGGAGGAGTTGGGCAGCGTGTCTCCCTGGATCTGCCTCTAGCTCTAGCACGTGTCTGAGCATGGGCCTGTGTGTGTCACGGAGAAGCCGCTGGGGCAGGCGTTCCCCGGGCCTCCCAGGAAACTTCCCAAGGGGTGAAACTTGATTCTTCCACAGCTGGCTTGGTGGATACCCACTCCTCTGCCGCCAGGACCCTTCCAGGCCAGTCCCACTGAGTGTGTGTGTGAGAGAAGGGAGGGTGTGTGTGCAGAGTGTATGTGCGTGGGTGTGAGAGACTCTGAAGGAGAGGATGGATGGATGGGGGTGTGTGTGCGCATGTGCGCGTTCACCAATGCGTTCAAAGAAAGTTTTTGCCAGGCAGAGAGCAAGAACATCTCCGTGTGCCGCGTTCTCCAATGACCCTTTTAAATATATGGCAAACAGTTAAAACAAAAGCCCATTTAGCTTTTATGCCTGTGATTCGTGGTATCCATTCCAGTTAATTACAGTGATTTAAAAACATCTGCATTTAATAAAGAACCTTTCTCTCCCTGAGTTCTCAGCCCACCCCCCTCCCACCCCCAGTCTTTCTTCAGGCCACTGGGCTAATGCAGTAATTACATCTCCATGCCAGGCCACAGCTGAGGGATGGCAGAAGGGGAGGGGAGGCTTCATCAGGCAGGGAAGGCAAAGGAGGGATGGGCGGGGCGGGGAGGTAGGGCTGAGGTGGGAGGGGGAGAGAATTGGGTAGGGGGAGCTGGTGGGGGCAGGGCAGGGTGGAGCCGGGTGAGGAAGGTGGGGTGGGGGCAGAGGCGGGGAGCTGGAGCTGGTGAAGCTGGGACGAAGGGAGCTAGAATGGAGGTGGAGGGGAGGCTGCAGGCAGAGCTGGTTTTGGGGAGCTGGGTCAGGCCTTCTCTCTAGTAGAGGACTCCTAGGTTGGGAGGATTCGCATCCAGAGACTAGGACATGGATATAGATATATACATATTCAAAGCCTTTATTCTTTCTGGGTCATAGGATTGTTTATTTCACAAAAAGAGAGACTGAGGCAAGGCTCGGGACTTCACTCTTCACTCTGGGCCCCCGCCTTGCTTCAGGAAGGAGGCTGGGAGTGGTGGAGAGAAGGGCAGGAGGTGAGAACAGAGAGGGGCGCGGCAAAGCCTCGACAGGGAAGCTGGTCCTAGGGCCAGAACCTTCTTTTAAAAAATGTGAGTCGCTGGCCTCTGGCTCCCTTCTGCTGCCCTGGTGATGTGTTGTGGTCCATGCTTGGGGCTCTGACTGGTCACATGGACTCCTCAGTGGACATCAGGAGGCTCAGTGGCCTCCTGGACACACTCAGCCTTGGGTGAGTCCCAGCCTACCATGGACAAGCAGGAAGGATCCCAGGTGGGCCCCGGGTAAGGGGGGCAGGGAGTCTGGCCTCGGCCAAGGGGCAGGCGGACTTGGAGGTCTGGCTGAGGACTGCAAGGTGCCAGCCCTTTGCTCCGGAACCCCCGCTCCCGCAGCCGCTGGCCGTCTCTCACCTTGCCCAAATGCCACCTCAGTGCAGCAGTAGCTGCCAGCTGCCTGATTTCAGTGGAGGAGAAAAAGTGAACACTCGATTCTACCCAGCAGTTCAGGGCTTTGGGAGATCTGGGACAGGAAGAAGGAGGGGCACAGCAAGGGACAGGGAGGAGAAACCAGCTTTGGGGTCTGGAGAAGGAAACCAGCTTTAGGGGAGGAGAAGCCCGTGGGTGGACTCTCACGCAGGAAGCGGGATGCTGGTGGCCGAGAAAGAAATGAGTGCAGCTGGTGGTGTTAGAAGCAGGCTTTGGAAGCCCGCAGCCCCTCCCAGGACCCGCTGGGAGCATGGTGGTGCATCCGACTGGAGCGGACCTGTGTCAGGCCGGGGCCCGCTGTTCCTAGAGGGACAACTGTGGGGTCTCTGTGCCTCTACCAGGTTGGAACTGAGGGTGAGCTTTGCTTTCTGAGGTTGCCTTTCTCTAAAGCTGCAATCTTGCTTCAAATTCTGTTCTCCACAGCCAAGAGACAAGATCAGAGCATGCGTTCTCAGTGGGGTTCAGGGGGCCCTGCTGGGCCCCACAGCCACCTGCTGGGACCAGGCTCAGATCAAACCCAGAGGGTCAGACCACGGGAACACAGTCAAAACCAGCTACTCCCCTGTGGCCCTCAGAGAGCAGCCGGGGGAGGGAGTTGGTGGGTGCACCTGATGGAGCACACATCCCCAGTGGGGGTGAAAGGCGACTTGGAAAAGCTGAAAGTGCCAGCCTCTCAGGGGTGACTCTGCCCAGGAGAAAGTAAACCTCCCCCCCTCCCCTTTCTCCTCCCTCCCTTCCTCCTTTCTTTTCTCTTTCTCTCTCCCTCTCTCCTTCCTTCCCTCCCTCCCCATCTCTCCTTCCCTCCTTTCTCTCTCTCTCTCTCTCTCTCTCTCTCTCTCTCTCTCTCTCTCTCTCTCTCCCCTCTCTCTTTTCATCTGTGGTGCCATCACAGTAGCCTCAGCTTCCCAGGCTCAAGCGATCCTCCCACCTTAGCCTCCCAAGTGGTTGGGGCTACAGGTGCATGCCACCACGCCTGGCCAATTTAAAAAATATGTTTTATGGAGATGAGGTTTCACCATGTTGCTCAGGCTGGTCTCAAAACTGCTGCGCTCAAGCGGTCTGCCTGCGTTGGCCTCCCAAAGTGCTGGGATTACAGGCATGAGCCATCTCGCCCAGCCAGAAGGAGACCTCCCTGCAACTCGTCGAATGCAGGTTCGTATCCCAGCCTCCTCTCTGTGCACACTTCCCTCTGCCCTCCCCGCAGCCGGCTTCCTTTTCTTCACTCAGCAAGTGCATTTGCTTGTTGTTTCTCTCCCCGAGTGGAATGTGATCCTGAGAGGGCAGTGAGTGCACACTGGCTGGGTCTGCAGCAAACGCATGACTGGGGCCATGCCACAGACGCACACAGGGACACGTGGCAACAGACGCAGCAGACGCACATTGCCACTGCGCTGCGGGCCCTGCAGAGGCGTTTCGTGGCGCCTAGGCTCCAGAGGCAGCTCCCGGTTTTGATTCTGAGATTTCCTTGCCCACTCTGTCTTGATCCTCTTCCACCCTCCCCGTCCAGGCCTCCTGCCCTTTCCTTCTGAGCCCACAGACTCCTGCCACATCCTTCAGTTTCCCCTGCAAGTGCCAGAGACCCTCTTCTCTGAATGAATTTGGACCCCCTGCAATGTCTGCCGCGCCTCCCTCAGGCCGAAGCCTCCCGCAGCTTCGCCTGTGTCTCTGCACCTCTGGCCCATTCAGGACTGGAAGAGATGGAGGATTCCTAACTGACACTTTTCCCTGTCGCCTCCCCAGGTTCCAGCCTCACTTCTTTTTACTTTACTTTTTTGAGATAGAGTTTTATTCTTGTTGCCGAGGCTGGAGTGCAGTGGCGTGATCGCAGCTCACTGCGACCTCCACCTCCCAGGTTCAAGCAATTCTCCTGCCTCAGCCTCCCGAGTAGCTGGGACACTACAGGTGCCTGCCACCATGCCCGGCTAGTTTTTTTGTATTTTTACTGGAGGTGGGGTTTGACCACATTGGCCAGGCTGGTCTTGAACTCCTGACCTTAGATGATCCACCCGCCTCAGCCTCCCAAAGTGCTGGGATTACAGGTGTGAGCCACCTCGCCCAGCCCAGCCCCCCCTTCTTTTGAGTAAGCTGCTACGCCATCGCTGTCACCTGCTGACCCTGCCTCCCAGCCCCTGAGCAGACCTGGCTCACCTTCTCTCACCAGCATCGGGTCACCTGCGACTGCACCCCATTGTGGGCGGCGACCCTTGGCCTCCCTCTTACGTTACAGCTACTGGTGTTTCCGCCTCTCTTCTCTAGGACATCAGTACCTGAAGAAAAGAGACTTGGTTTTTTTCCTCCTGGTAAGTTTGACCATAATGAGGTCGGAGGTGAGACTTGATTCCAGAGGTGGAGACACCAGACCAGATTGAGGACTGGCTGAAACAAGACCAGTGCAGATGCAGCTTTCCGGTCAGACACGGCTACCCGTGGGCCACGTCAGTTTACCACTGCCGTGGCTACACTCAGGAGTTACTGCCTTTCGCTACGGCAATGTTGATGACTCAAAAGTTACTGTTCATTCCTTAGAAATTTCTGCATAAACTGCCCCTTAATCTGCATGCAATTAAAAGTGGGTATAAATCTGACTGCAAACCTGCCCTGAGCAGCAGCCCTCAGCACACCGTCCGTGCGGTAGCCCTGCTCTGCGGGGGCAGTCACAGACCTGTCACATCATTGGGGCAGTTACAGAGCTGTCACATCATCGCAACTGTAACACTGCTGCTTCAACAAAGCCATTTGCTTCTATCCTTGCTTGCCCTTGAATTATTTCCTGGGCAAGACCAAGAACCTTCATGGACTAAGCCCCATCTCAGAGCTTGCTTGCCCTGCAGGTAGTTGGACTTTGGCATTAGGAGGTATCAAAGAACGTGTTGTTGAAGTGAGTTGGGTCAAATCTGCCTTTCTGGAGCCATCCCAAGTTTTGGTGGTGGGAGAGTGTCGGTGGAGTTGACCTCAGAGTGCTCTGATGGGACCTGGAGTGGGAGACGGCAGACCTGTCTAACCTCTCACCATCAAGAGAAAGACGGACCCTCCCGAAGAGGCGGCCCGGATGGTGCTACATTTTGGCCGAGACTCTCTGCTGGAAAGGGAATGGAAAGCTTCGAGCCCCTTGTTTTGGCTTGTAAACTCACCAGCTAATTGACAAACGTGCGTCCGGTGCATGAGCTGCTAAGGTTTTCCGTGATGTCAGCAGAGCCCAGTGACATCTGGGATTCACCAGGAGCTGTGGGGCCCTTTGTGTCTGGGAACTCCTGGCTGTTGTCAGCGGAGAGGCCCCGGTCGCTGTTCGGCATCCTGCTTATGGGTAACCCATGGCATACTGAGAATCATCACTGTCCAATGCTGAGCACGGAGTGAGTCCTCAAGAACCAGTTCTTGAATGAATGAGTGAGTGAGTGAGGGAAAGAGCAAGAGACTGAAAGAACAAGCTGGGACCATATGCTTCCTACACCAACGTTGTAAGTTCAACCCCTGACTGTGCCAAAAAGCTTTATCTCTTTCCAGAATTAAGGCGGGGCTATGTGGTCCTATGAGGGGCCTTCTCTGGCCGTTTACCAATTCATCAGCAAGAATTTATTGGACCCCCTACTCTGGGCAGATTCTGAGCTCTAGCAAAGGGCAGGACGCACCAGCCCAGCCCTTCACCACGGTGGGAACCGTCTCTAAGCACTGGAAGCTTATAAGCGTGCGTGGGACAGTGTCCCTGGCCGCGAGGACGGGCGGCCCATTGCTCTCTCAGTAAATCATTAGTGCCTGCCGTTTGCTCCCAGACATTCTGAGTCGTTCCCAGTGTGGTGCTCTCAAGGCTTTGCTCTCGAGACGAGGGGCTCCAAATAGGAAAGGGCGGGATGGTTGGATTGGATTTCTGGCAAATGCAAGATCTCCAAGATCGATTGATTCTTCTGTCCCTTCATCAACCGTTTACAAATGAGCCCATGGGGTCCAAACATTAGGCAAAGTCTCGCTGGAACACAACCTGGCCTGACCCTTCCCCATTCTGTGCCAGGCCCGCCCTGTGAACCCCAGATATGGTTGGGCTCTGCTGATGTCACGAAAAATCTTAGCAACGCATGCCTTGTCAATTAGCCAGGGAGCTGACTGCCAAGAGAGGGAGGCTTACGGTTTGACATCGTCCTGCCGGGAGACAAAGGGCTCACCCCTCTCTGGCCACCGAGGATTGTTCTCCCATACAGCCAGGGCTGTGCCAGGCAGGCTGCTCTCCAGACTCAGGGAGGAGGAGGTCAGGGAGATGCTTCTTGTCCCAGACACCTGGGCCTTGGCTGAGCTCCCTGCATTGCAGGGAGGGCTGGGCGAGGCTCTCACTCTCTCACTCACGCACCAGGAGTAGAAATGACAAATGGCTCCCGCTGGGAGCCCTGCCTGCCATCCTGCCGGATCATTTATCTCAGCGGCGAGTGATTTGCATACTGAAGGGGCGGGAACTGCTCACCCTCCCTTCTCCTGCCCCGTTCCCACTCCAGCTCAACTCAAAGTGGGGCTGCCTGCCCCGGCAGCCACCTTTTGTCACCTAGAGTCCTTGCATGCCTCCTTCACTGGGACTGCTGAAAATGCTACATAGGAGGCTTTGGTGGCAGGAGACGAAAGGCTCCTATGAAATGGTGGACGCTGACTCGAGGTAGCAGACCAGCTCCTTCCTGTTGGGTGTCAGGGAAGAGGGGCTCAGGGCAAATGGCACTGTGCCCTGCTATTTGGATGTGCCCATGAGCATTTGCCCAGAAGGAGGGGAGTGGGGGGTGAAGACCGAAAGCCCGCCCTCGCACCGGGTATCCCCACAGGCACCATTGCCCTGCTCAGCCTTCCAGCCTGGTTTTCTTTCTTTCTTTTTTTTTTTTTTTTTTTTGAGACAGGGTCTTGCTGTGTTGCCCAGGCTGGAGGGCAGTGGTGCGATCACGGCTCACTGCAGCCTTGACTTCCTCAGGCTCGAGTGATTCTCTGACCTCCGCTTCCTGAGTAGCTGGAACTACAGGCACATGCCACCATACCTGGCTGATTTTTATATGTATTTTTTGTAGAGATGGGGTTTCACCATGTTGCCCAGGCTGGTCTCAAACTCCTGGGCTCAAGCGATCTACCTACCTCATCCTCCCAAAATGCTGGGATTACAGGTGTGAGCCGCTGTGCCCAGTTCCAGTCTCTTATTTTGGGGGGCTGGGGGAGGGGGTGAAACATTGTCTGAGGGCAAACAGCGGCAGGCAGGGCTTCAAGCTCTTTCTCCTGACTCCAAAGCACAGAGGTACTTCCGAGTCTTCTGGTCACAAAGAGGCTGCCTGCAGCCTGGGGTATTCAGAGGAGAAAGGTCCCCTGTGTAGGCAGCAGTGACCATGTACGGGAGCAGGTGCAGGGTGGTTGGAGGTTGTGAGCCAGGTGACCTCTTTCTTGCTTTCTTGTTCCTGCTGCCTCTCTGCTTCCTGGTGACTTCACTCTTTCACCAGCCTGGCACCGCCACATGGTAGGAAACATCCAGATCCCCTCAATTTGCAGGGCCAGCCACTTGGAGTGGCACATGGCTGGTCTCCAGCTGAGCCATGATTTCCAAGTTGGGGGTGTGTTCCTGGGGATGAGGCGGTAAGGATTACAGGCTCACACCTGTAATCCAAGCACTTTGGAGGCCAAGGTGGGCTGATCACCTGAAGTTGGGAGTTCAAGACCAGCCTGACTAACATGGTGAAACCCGGTCTTTATTCTTTAAAAATAAAATATTAAAAACACACACACACACACAAAACACTGAAACAGGCCAAGCCAGTGTAGGAACTTCCAAGGGCTGGGAGGGAGGGCAAGTCTCTCTGGGAGGCCGGGCTCAGGGGGCTGCTGTACCCCAGGGAGAAGGGACGCACAGGGACCCACTTGGGGTCTGTGCTGCTTTTGTCTAGGCTGGCCCTGCCCTCAAATCCCTTGCAAGCTGCCCGGCCTTAGGACAGAGGGAAGCCTCCTTACACTTGACATCCAGTAAGGCCTTTGGGGCCCTTTGTGGAATTTTCTCTTCCTCCGGTCCTCTGCCCACCAGCCACAGCCCTGGAGATTCCGTTCAGCCTCTGGGCGCACTGAGGGCCGAGGAAGACTTAACGCCTAAGCCACGTTAACAGTGTTCCTTTTTCCTGCACCATGAGAAATCAGTGTGGTACTCAGGGCGGGCAGTGAGGGCAGGCAGTATCCGTAGGGAATTTACAGACAATAATAAAACTGGCGAAAAGTTGGTCTGTCGGATTATTTACAGCACGCATCCGCAGTTCTAAACAATGTCCCTGAAAATTGTTTTGGTTGGTCTCTACTCTAAACAATTTCTGCTTACTGTTGAGTTCTAATAATGTATATGTCAGCTTCAAATTAGCACTTTTTTTTTTTTTTTTTTTTTTTTGAGACTGGAGTTTCGCTCTTGTTACCCAGGCTGGAGTGCAATGGTGCAATGGCGCGATCTCGGCTCACCGCAACCTCCGCCTCCTGGGTTCAGGCAATTCTCCTGCCTCAGCCTCCTGAGTAGCTAGGATTACAGGCATATGCCACCATGCCCAGCTACTTTTTTTTTTGTATTTTTAGTAGAGACGGGGTTTCACCATGTTGACCAGGATGGTCTCGATCTCTTGACCTTGTGATCCACCCGCCTGGGCCTCCCAAAGTGTTGGGATTACAGGCATGAGCCACCGCGCCCGGCCCAAATTAGCACATTTTTATTACTCACTCTGATAAACACTGCATTCTTTATGGCAGTTAATTTGGAAAAAGGCCGGATTGCTCAGTCAGCTCCCAGCACAAGGCTGGCCACTGCTGTTCGTTTTGGGAGTCCGTTTCTGAGATGTCGGATTATTTGGGGCACCTCAGGTGTCGTCCGTGTGTCCCACCCCTGCAGAATTGCATTCTCCTTCATTTACCAGATTAGAAATGAACAATGACAGCACGGGGATTGCAACAACGAAGCAACAGAGCTGGACTTATTTCAACCCCATCACTCTGTGTGACCACAGAGCGTCTTTATTTGTGATTTAAATTTAAAACAGTGAAGCAGGCCAGGTGTGGTGACTCATGCCTATAATCCCAGCACTTTGGGAGGTGGAGGCGGGCAGATCATCTGAGGTCAGGAGTTCAAGATCAGCCTGGGCAACAAGCTGAAACACAAAAGAAATTAGCTGGGAATGGCGGTGTGTACGTGTAATCCCAGCTACTTGGGAGGCTGAGGCAGGAGAATTGCTTGAACCCAGGAGGTGGAGGTTGCAGTGAGCTGAGATTGTGCCACTGCGCTCCAGCCTGGGTGACAGAGCAAGACTCCGTCTCTTAAACAAACAAACAAACAAACAAACAAAACACTGAAACAGGCCGGGCATGGTGGCTCACACCTATAATCCAAGCACTTTGGAGGCCAAGGCGGGTGGATCACCTGAAGTTGGGAGTTCAAGACCAGCCTGACCAACATGGTGAAACCCCGTCTTTATTCTTTAAAAATAAAATATTAAAACACACACAGACACACACACACACACACACACAGACACACACACAGACACACACACACACAAAACACTGAAATAGGCCAGCCGCAATGGCTTATGCCTGGAATCCCAGTACTTTGGGAGGCTGAGTCAGGTGGATCACCTGAGGTCAGGAGTTTGAGACCAGGCTGGGCAACATGGTGAAACCCCATCTCTACTAAAAATACAAACATTAGCCAGGTTTGGTAGTGCATGCCTGTAGTCCCAGCTACTCGGGAGGCTGAGGGAGAAGAATCACTTGAACCCAGGAGGTGGAGGTTGCAGTGAGCTGAGATCGTGCCATTGCACTCCAGCCCGGGCAACAAGAGTGAAACTCCGTCTCAAACAAGCAAAGAAATGAAACAGTATGAACTGCAAGGAGAAGTGTTTGTGTTTGGCAAATAAAAGTTTTAGTTCATACATGAAATATTTTACTGAATTTGAATAATTTTTTAACGTGAAAATTTATTCTTCTATTAAAACAGTTTTAAATCATAAATCAAGAAAAGAATGTCTATTACTTTATTAGTCTTCTAAGGCTGCTGTAACAAACTTGGTAGCTTCAAGAAGCAGAAATTGTATTTAAGACAAGGTCTTGGCCGGGCGCGGTGGCTCAAGCCTGTAATCCCAGCACTTTGGGAGGCCGAGGTGGGGGATCACGAGGTCGAGAGATCGAGACCAACCTGGTCAACATGGTGAAACCCCGTCTCTACTAAAAATACAAAAAATTAGCTGGGCATGGTGGTGCGTGCCTATAATCCCAGCTACTCAGGAGGCTGAGGCGGGAGAATTGCCTGAACCCAGGAGGTGGAGGTTGCGGTGAGCCGAGATCGCGCCATTGCACTCCAGCCTGGGTAACAAGAGCGAAACTCCGTCTCAAAAAAAAAAAAAAAAAAAAAAAAAAAGACAAGGTCTTGCTCTGTGGCGCAGGCTGGAGTGCAAGGGTAAGATCTTGGCTCACTGCAGCCTCAAACTCTTGGGCTCAAGCGATCCTCCAGCCTCAGCCTCCCAAGTAACTGGGACTACAGGCATACACCAGCATGCCTGGCTAACTTTTAAATTTTTTGTAGACTTGGGGTCTTGCTATGTTGCCCAGGCTTGTCTTGAACTCCTGGCCTCAAGTGTTCCTCCTGCCTTGGCCACAGCATAAATTTTACGGTTCTGGAGGCCAGAAGTCTTAAATGGGTTTGATCCGCCCCAAACCTGGGTGTTGGCAGGCCTGCGCGCCCTCTGGAGGCTCCAGCAGGCATTCCTTGCCTTGTCTTTTCCAGCTTGCAGAGGCTGCCCTGGGGACTTCCGTGGAGTCTGTGCTGGTTCTGAGCCTGCACTCCTTAGCTCGGGGCCCCTTCCTCCACCCTCAGAGCCCTTCACTCCAGTCTCTGCCTCCGTGGTTACAGTCTCCTCTGCTCTCAAGTCTCCCTCTGTCTGCCTCTGATTAGGATCCGTTTGATGACTCTTAGCGCCCACCAGATAAATCAGGATAATCTCCCCATCTCAAGATGCTTAATTTAATCACATTTGCAAAGTCCTTCTTCCCATATAATGTCACGTTGAAAGGTTCTAGGGATTAGGACCTGGGTTTTTGGGGGCTCATTATTCGGCCCACCACAATGACCAAAAATCGTTTTGTCGTGTGGGGAGGGGGTTAAAAACGACCTGCTCTGGGAGTGAAATGAGGCCCAAGGCATGGCCTGCAGAAAATGCGTGTGGACTGCAGGTTCTGTTGTGAATGAGATGAGAACGTGCTTGACTCAAGTCAGGGACACGTGTGCCTGTGCATGTGGGGGGCGTGTGTGTGTCTGTGTGTGTGTGTGTGTGTGTTTCATGGGAAGGGATGTTTGTGCCTGTGCATGCGGGGGGCGTGTGTGTGTGGTCCATGGGCAGGGACATGTGTACCTGTGTATGTGGGGTGTGTGTGTGTGTGTGGTCCATGGGCAGGGACGTGTGTACCTGTGTATGTGGGGTGTGTGTGTGTGTGTGTGTGTGTGGTCCATGGGCAGGGATATGTGTACCTGTGTATGTGTGTGTGTGGGGTGTGTGTGTGTGTGGTCCATGGGCAGGGACGTGTGTACCTGTGTATGTGGGGGGTGTGTGTGTGTGTGTGTGTGGTCCATGGGCAGGGACGTGTGTACCTGTGTATGTGGGGGGGGGTGTGTGTGTGTGTGTGGTCCATGGGCAGGGACGTGTGTACCTGTGTATGTGGGGTGTGTGTGTGTGTGTGTGTGTGGTCCATGGGCAGGGATGTGTGTACCTGTGTATGTGTGTGTGGGGGGTGTGTGTGTGTGTGGTCCATGGGCAGGGACGTGTGTACCTGTGTATGGTGGGGGGTGTGTGTGTGTGTGTGTGTGGTCCATGGGCAGGGACGTGTGTACCTGTGTATGTGGGGGGGGTTGTGTGTGTGTGTGGTCCATGGGCAGGGACGTGTGTACCTGTGTATGTGGGGTGTGTGTGTGTGTGTGTGTGTGGTCCATGGGCAGGGACGTGTGTACCTGTGTATGTGGGGGGTGTGTGTGTGTGTGTGTGTGGTCCATGGGCAGGGATATGTGTACCTATGAGGAGTGTGTGTGTGTGTGTGTGTGCATGCAAGGTCTGTGGGCTCGATTGAGAGGTGTGCAAAGGGTGAGCATGGGACTATTTTGAGGTCTATAAAATGAGGTCCTCCTTCAGGGTCAAGGCTATTCACACTCAGCGTCTGTAGGGCCTTTAGGTTTTGTGCTTATGAAGACTCTTCTGGGCACGCACATCACCTGTTACCACCTGACATGCGCTGTGATACAGACTCAGTCTGCTTCATGGTTCACTGAGGGCCTGCTGTGTGCAGGGTACTCTTCTTTTTTTTCTTGAGACGGAGTTTTGCTCTTGTTGCCCAGGCTGGAGTGCAGTGACACCCTCTCAGCTCAGTGCAACCTCAGCCTCCTGGGTTCAAGCGATTCTCCTGCCACAGCCTCCTGAGTAGCTGGGATTACAGGTGCCCACCTATAATCCATGTCTGGCTAATGTCTGTATTTTTAGTAGAGATGGGTTTTCACCACGTTGGCCAGGCTGGTCTCAAACTCCCGACCTCAGGTGATCCACCTGCCTTGGCCTCCTAAAGTGCTGGGATTATAGGTGTGAACCACCTTGCCCAGCCCCTTCTTCTTTTTTTTAATAGTAGAAAAAAAAAGCCACAGGGAAAAGTGCAAACACAGTCCCTGCCCGCCACTGACTACACAGTCTGGTTTCCTGCATTTGGGGAAATTGCAGGTGTCAGTGCACCTGGAATTCAATGCGTGGACCTAAGCCTGGGAAAACCACCTTTGTGATCATGGTGCCTCCCCTGCCAGGTGAGCGTGCAGGTACTCTGCCAAACATGGGGACTCCGCAATGAACGTGCAGACAAAATCCTTGCGCTGCGGTGGCCAGTCACATCTGTGTCTATTTGTCTAACTGTCTCACTCATAGAATGTATGCGCCTCGAGGGCAGGCACTTTTTCTAATTATTTAGGAGTCATCTCCTTAGAAGACTCGACACGTGGCAGAACTCAGTGAATATTTACTACACACGTCCCATTGGGCCCCTCTCTGCAAGGTGAGAATTTAGAGGGACGGTTCTCCAGGTGAAAATGTCCCAGCAGGGCACAGAGGGAGTTTCTTGTTTCCACGTTGTTTTTTGTGCAGTGCAATTGTTTTTCCCTAGAGCTTTCTCAGAGTCTTGCGTTCTAGTGTCTATTGTGGATCGAGGTTGAGTTTTGAATGATGACATGTGAAAGGCTGGCAGCTGATGCTTGGATGGCTCATTCGCTGTTTTGCTGAGATACGTACTAGGTGCCATGAAATCCACTGGGCTGAAAACATGCCTTGGAAGAAAGAATTTTCCCCAAATTATTGGATCTGAAAGGTTTCTGTTTGCACTTCCTTCTAATGTTCCCAGTTCCCCAGACAACACCTGCAGCCCCAGCACCCTCGGGTCGCTCCCTGGTCATGCCGCCTGTACGGACGCAAAGGAACAGAGAATGAACGTAGTTGGGCACGTGCTGGTCTCTAGGCAAACTCAGCCTTAGATTCGTTTTGGGGGCCTTTCTGATTCTATTCTAGCCCTGCAGAAAGGAATCAGGGCTTCATATTTCACTCCGGCTTTCAGGATGCAATTCAGAATCTTTCCAACTCAGGGTAAAAACAAAACGAAACAGAAAGGGGACAATTTACAGAGAAGTGTCACAAGCAACTCAAAGCCCAGACATTGCTCCTTTAGTGATGCCCCTTTAGCGACGTAAATGATCTAGAGTTTCGGAGGTGAGCCCTCTGTCCTTCCCTGGGGTGGAGCGGGAGGGCAGAGGCCCAGGAAGAACACCCGAGCTACCGAAGAACAAGCCCAGGGTGACAAGAGGCAGGCTGAAGGAAATGATATTAACACACAGCCCCGACACGGACACACGTGAAGCCTGAGACTCCGTCCTGGGGTTCTGACGGCGCAGACCGTGAGAGCAAAGCTAAAGGAGATTTCTAAATGTCGGCCCTGGGCTCCTCTGTGGAGCTACAGCTTTGTTCTTTCTCAGGCACCGGTGGGAACATTTAAGTCCCGCGTTCGGCAGAGTCCGAGCACTTTCAGGCCGGCCTTCCCGCCAGGTTTCTCAACGCTTAGTGTGAACAGTTCTTCATAGAGTTGCCAGAAATGGGAGGGGAACTTCTTTCTTCTTCTAATTCTTCTTCTAATAACTCCTCTTCATCTTCTTCCTCCTCTTCCCCTTCTTCCTCTTCCTCTCCCTCCTCCTCCTCCTCCCCTCCTCCTCTGCCCCATCCTTCTCCTCCTCATCCTCCTTTTCCTCCTCCCCATCCTCCTCCTCCTCCTCCTTCTTTTACTCCTCCTCCTCCTCCTCTTTCTTCTTCCTCCTCCTCCTCCTTCTTCTCTTTCTTCTTCATGCCTGTCTTCCAGGATTGCACCACATCAAGAGGAACACGGTAAGAGGAGGGAAGCACAGGGAGTCAGGATGGTGTCAGCCCCTGCCGGCCCAGGACTGTGGTTTGGGGCACTGCAGCGCACCTGCAAGGGCCACTCTGCATAAACAGGCACCGTGGGAAATGGCTTTCGTATCTGCGACCCGAAAAGCTCCATGTGTGTGGCCCATGGGCTGGGATCCGGGCCACAGCCCCCCTCCACCGTTGTTTCGAAGCCTGAACCCCATATCTCCACGCCTCCAGAGACTCCTGTGCAGCTCAGGGGAGGGAGCCATGTGTTCACCACGGCAAATCTGGACAGCCGCAGCCTGGCCATATTTCACCTTTATGCCTGCTGAGCTTCCTTCTGCTTTCAGAATGGGGAAATTCAGACATCAATGTGAGCTTTCCAAGAAGTTTCAGTTCCGTTTCTTAGACCGAGAGGAGGCACACGGGTAGGTTTTGCCCAGATGACGACGGGTAGGCAATAGGCAGGCAAGGGGGCCGACACGACTGCTCCCCAGCAAGGCTGCGGCCGCGTGCTCTCCGTGTTCCCCGGAGAGGCAGTCTTGCCTCCTTCCCTCTCATTCAACCCGTCCCTATTGCTAGGCATGAACTTTTAAACAAGGCTTTGCCATCTCTTCATTATAAGGCGGCTCTTACAGAGAAACTGCATTCAAAATGTGAAACTGCACACCAAAGACACGAACATGCAAACTCAATTCTGTAAAAAATATTCTGTTTAATTGATTTTCTAAAAAAATCTATTATGTTTCTGTGAGCCTATTGATCTGCAGCTCCACAGAAGTAATGAAGAAGCTCTGTGATCAATAAGGCCAAGGCGTGTCTTACCCAGAATCTGTTCCGCCGTCCGCCAAGGATGTGGCCGGCCGATTCCCCAGACAGCACCGGGAGTGCGAGTGGCCTTCTTTGTGTCTGTGGGGGTTGATTTCTCTTGGCATAAACATAACATATGAAACCCTGACGACTTTTCTTGCTCTGAAAGCCAAGAATATATCATATCAGTCATCATGAAACACGCAAGAACGCAATTTGCAAAAAGAAAAAAAAAAAAAAAAGAAAAGAAAAACTATGCCTTTTAACCTCAGTACATTAGCTCCCCCCCCCCCCCGCCCCATATTTAATCAAGATAAGATTTTACTCCTCGGCTCTTACGATGGACTTCATTCTTTTATATCCACACCCACCCGCTCCCCGCCAAATTCAGGTTGGTTTTACCAGTCTTAGAAGGCTTTTCTGTTTCAGCAGTGAATGCAAAGCACAGGTAGCTGCAATCGCAGGCTGATAGTTCTGAGTAGAGCAAACATCACTATCTTATCCTCTAGAAAGTAATAGTGTGGAATGAGATAAGACACTGGTGACACACACAAACAGCGTCCGGAAATATGGCAGGCACCACTGGGCGGCATTTGCTGGGGAAGGAAGCGCTCCCTGCCCCAGATAAGTAATCTTGATTGCTGATGATTTCAGGATTTATCATTTGCATTTTGCCCTTAAACCAGAGGACACCCCCTGGGGCGGATAGTGATCTGTTGCTGTGCAAACGAATCCTGCTGCATTGAACAGATTGAAGAGCAAGGCTTAAGGCCGGTGGACGTGGCTCACAACTGTAATCTCAGTACTTTGGGAGGCCGAGACCGGTGGATCATGAGGTCAGGTGATCGAGACCATTCTGGCCTAAAGGTAAAACCTTGTCTCTACTAAAAGTAAAAAATTAGCCGGGCATGGTGGCTCGAGCCTGTAATCCCAGCTACTCGGGAGGCTGAGGCAGGAGAATCACTTGAACCCGGGAGGCAGAGGAGGTTGCACTGAGCCGAGATCACACCACTGCACTCCAGCCTGGTGATAGAGTGAGACTTGGTCTCAAAAAACAAACAAACAAACCATGAAGACTTTTTCAGGACTAGCCCTACGCTGACCCATCACCACCCAGTCCAGAGAAGTTGGCTGCTGAGGGTGGCTGGGTGGTGGGTGGGACGGAGGATGTGGTGGGAAATTAGATTGCCAAGATCAGCAGGGACCAGATCTTGAAGGAGGTTGCCTGAGGGCACTGGAGAGCCACAGAGGGATTTTTATGAGCGGAGGGAAGTGACCAACCCAGTAACTTTGAAGCCATCACCTGCCACCGTGCAGAACTACAGTCCTCAGGTCGCTTCTTGCACCCTTGAAAATAATAATGATAGTGCTAATAATAATGGTGAACATGCTGGACCAGACTGTGCTGCAAGTTTTGCAAGTAGCAACTCATTTCATCTTCACAACACCCCTGTCAGGGAGCTCCTGTAATTCTCCCATTTTACAGATGAGGAAACAGAGGCACACAGAGAGGTCCCATGAGACAGGTGCCTAATCCCAGGAACCACACTCCCTCGGTCTGGAGTGGGATGACACCCTCTGTTCTCAGCTCTTAGGAAAGCGTGCTGGATCGGAAGCACCCAAGTGACGATGTCTTTCATGGAGGAAAAATAACCTTGGCTCGGTTCACATTTGTGTTCTAAGAAGCCCATCACTTGGGAAAAACGTGATGGTCAGTAATTTCATGTGCACATCTTCCGGGGACAAAGATGGACCCAATTTGGAGAGTGGGGTGGAAGTGGGGCAGCTGCGGAGAAAAGGGCAGGAGGATGGTGCAGCCTCGAGATGGTGGGGCCGGGGGGTCAGTGCAGCTTTGGGATGGTGGGGCTGGGGGGGTCGGTGAAGCTTCAGAATGGTGGGGCGGGGGTGGGGATCGATGAAGACTCGGGATGGTGGGGCTGAGGGGGTTGGCACAGCCTTGGGATGGTGGGGCTGGGGGGATCAGTGCAGCCTGGGGATGGTGAGGGGGAGTGAGGAGTGAGGAGTGAGGGGCTGGGCCCAGAGGTCCACCTGGAGTGCCCGGCGGGTGGTGGTGCGGTTCAGATCTACCCGCCGCTCGCTTGGGGCTACCCTCTGTCCCGTCATTCCAGCCTTTACTGAGCTCCTCCTCTGCACAGCACTCCACTTCACCAGGTGCTGGGCTGAGGCAGTGACCCTGGGGATATTCGGGGAGCAGAGAAAGAGGAATTGGAGTTCGATGGAGGAGCTGAACTGTTGAAATGGGTGCAAAAGAGAGATTCCGGGGGCTACACACCTGGTGCCATGAAGCATGTGAATACGCCGTGCACACGTAGAAAATGTAAAACGCTTTACATTGAGTAGCTATTTAATGCTTATGACTAGCACAGAGGGAGGTCCTACTGGAACATGGCCAGTCCCCAGTTGCCTGCTAAGATGACTCCCTGAGTTGGCCCCCTTCGGAGAGTTGGGTTTCAGAGAACTGGCTTTGAGCCTGGAGCCCAGCTTGGAATCTGAGCGGGGGAGAGGGAGACCCAGGGAATGGGAGGGAAGCAGAAGGACACATTTCTTCCGTTGGGTCTG